ATGTGGTTCTTTGGATAAAAAAAAAAAGAGGGTTTTTTTCTAAAAAAAAAAAAAAAAAAAAAAAAAAAAAAAAAAAGTAAGCTTTTTACCTTTGGGCCAATTCTTGAGCAACTCCAGTTATTACTGCCCAGACAGCAGCTGATGGAGCAACTACATAAAAAGTGTTGCAAACCCTGTTTAGACTTTGTCATGTTAAATTCACAACTTGGGCTGCACAGTGGCGCAGTTGGTAGAGCTGTTGCCTTGCAGCAAGAAGGTTCTGGGTTTGATTCCTGGCCCCGGTCTTTCTGCATGGAGTTTGCATGTTCTCCCTGTGCATGCGTGGGTTTTCTCTGGGTACTCTGGTTTCCTCCCACAGTCCAAAAACATGACTATCAGGCTAATTGGCCTCTCCAAATTGCCCCTAGTTGTGAGTGTGTGTATGCTTGGTTGTTTGTCTCTGTGTTGCCCTGCAACAGACTGGCGACCTGTCCAGGGTGTATCCCGCCTCTTACCCGGAACGTTAGCTGGAGATGGGCACCAGCAGCCCTCCCGACCCCACTAAGGGACAAGGGTGTAAAAAGAAAATGGATGGATGGAAATCCACAACTTCAACATATTATGGGGATTTGATGTGACAAACCAAAACACTTGTGAAAATACAAATTTAAAACCTTACACTGGGGCTGAAATCGTTAATAATTTGATTAATCAGATTAATTGTGATTAATCAATCATTATTTGAATAATGATTAACTGGAGCATAAAGACTCAACAAAAGCCATTTGCTGAAAGAACAACTCATTCAGAGCAGGAATTAAGCCAAAACTGTACAAAAATATATACTTTTTGCATTTAAGATAAACAAAACCCTTTGTATGCAAATACGTTCTACCAGAACTCCTCAAGTAACATTATTTTAGCTTCACCTGGTTCAAAATCTGTACAAAAAAATCTTCTGTGAAGTGCCTTTTGCTATCCAAATATTAATTGGTTAATAAAAAAAAAGAATTACTCAATCTACAATTGATAAAGAATACAGTGACAGATTGCTATATTATATGAAATTGCATTTTGTGCAACAGAAATGCTTTTTTATTATTTAGAAAAATGAACTGAATTATTTGTTTATTTTAGAGAACATCCCCACCAGACTTACACATTTAGAAACTGAAAAGTTTTCACCTATATTTGCAAAATAGCACAAGCTCAGTCAGATTGGACAGAGGCTTTAATAGGCGTTAGAGAGAGAAACTCTGCACTAACCAAGTACAAAAACCTTTAAATAATATTTTACCACACAGTTACCACTCCTTCTCTTCCAGGTATCGTCTGACAGCCCACGAGTACTCTGGCGATGCCGGCAACTCTCTGAGCTACAGCAAGCGCTACAACCACGACGGCAGACCGTTCAGCACTGCTGACAGAGACAACGATCGCTACGCCTCTGGAAGCTGTGGCCAATACTACGGCGCAGGCTGGTGGTTCGACGCCTGCCTGGCAGCCAACCTGAACGGGCGATATTACCGTGGCCGTTACACGGGTTTGACCAACGGGATCTACTGGGGGACATGGTACATCCTGACAGACGGAAGGACCGGGGAGCGGTACTCCTTCAAGAGGGTGGAGATGAAGACGAGACCCAAAGACTTTAGGGGAACCAAGTGAGGAACACGATCGGAGAGGGCTCACTGCAGAATACGCGTGGGATGCAAGGCCTTTTGTTGTATAGACGACAGATTTTAAACAACTTTCTGCTAAAATTTACATGGATTTTAGTGAATGGATTAAAGACAAAATATAGTGAGTTGCAAAATCATTCATACCCCCAGAGTCTTTTTGCATTTCATCACGGTAGAATGAAGAACATCTGTGTATTTTTAATCAGGATTTTGTGTGACAGATCAGCACAAAGAATTGCATATATGTGACATGCAAAAGTATAGCTTTCATGTTTTTTTTTTTTTTTTTTCAAATAAAAAAACCTTAAAGGTGTGGCGTGCTTTGGTACTCAGATACCCAGTAGAACCACCTTTAATAGATTTACAGGGGTGTGACTCAACCAGTTTTGCTCCTCTGTAAAGACTGATTTTTCTGAGTCAGTGTGCTTCAGGAACGTCTGTCATAACATTCAAATCTAGCCACAGATTCTTAATTGGATTCCTGTCTGGGTTTTGAGTAGACCTTTATTCCTCATAAAATGCTTCGATGTAAACATTTTATTGTAGCTCTGGTTGCATGTTTGGGATTGTTTTGCTGCTGGAAGGCAAACCTCCTTCCAAATCTCAAAGCTCCCATGATTATCTTGCATTTAGCTTAATCGATCTTCCCACTAACTCTGAATAGCTTTGTCTGCAATAAAAAAGACATTCCCACAGCATGATGCAGCCACCACGTTTCACTGCCTTGCAGGTGACCACGCCATCTTTGTGGAGTCTTCAGATATGTGAGTTGATTTAAGACAGACATTTTGTCTCATGTGGCCAGCAGCGAGTACATGTCGGTCTTGTTTATGCACATCTGAAAAGAAAAAAAGAGATGAGGGGAAAAAAAACAAAAAGAAAACCTCTGCGTTGAACAGCCTGTTCTTAACTGCCTGGTATTTATAAACTTCATAAACTTTGTGTAACCACGGAGCAACACACACACACACACACACGCACGCACGCACGCACACACACACACACACACACACACACACACACACTCGACCAGAGTGGTCAGGAAGATGGTTGGAGAGCATTCCTGTCTGACCACCTAGCAGCTGGTCTGGTTTACAAAATGGAGGGAAAAATGAGGATTTAATGTTATTTACACCAATCAATCTGCAGAACATGCACGTACTTTACTTACTTAACTTATTACAGTACCGCTTCGTACTAATTAGAAACTAATGCTTGTAACGATTCCTGTCTCCTGAATAACTTATATTTATTTACTTAAAAATCAAGTTACAATGCCTTTATAAATGGTGTACAATCACTACCAGGCATAACAATATTATCCGTTCTCAATTATAAGCTAAAAGAGCATTGTTCTTCATCAGCAGAGGAAGTTTCAAAGCTCTTGACACACTGATGTTGACCATCAGGATTTACTCTGTCTTCTCAGGATCCTTCCACCGCTGCTGACACACACACACACAGACACTTCAAATTCATCTCCCTCTCAGTGGAAGAGGTGCATGATATGCTTGGCTTCATGAAAATAAGTGGGGTCTATATGGTGAGTTAATGGTTAAACAACCATAAGCTCCTCTTGCTCTGGTCTCTGTGTTTCATTACATTAACACACACTAATACACACGCAGAGCGGTCAACCATAGGCAATCAAGATCAGTCACCCTTCACAACCATCATGCGTATCAGGTTTCTGCTTTGATTTTGTTGTCTGTGCATCTTTGTCTGGGCGCAGTCAGCGTTGGGTCACTTTGTTCTGCCCCCTGGTGGCCACTGGCGTTGCTGGGGAATTTGAGTCAACCTTTTTATTTAGCTCAGGTCCAGCTGATAAAACTGACACAGAATCAATTCAGTCTGAAATGATTATTTATTGGTGACATAATTGAAGACTTTGTCTGTGAGATGTAGTATTAAAATGTACCGCATAATCTCTTGAATGAAGACAGCAACGATTCCCTCATCAGTCTTGTAGACAAGGGAGGAACAGAAGCCCAGAGTTGCGTCACCACAGTATCGTGGCACAGCGTCTGGAACGAGGTGATAGTAGTGGTGCTGCGGCCTGCGAGCCACCACCGCTCCCAGGGAAGAACCCCCTGACTGGGCAGCGGTTAGCCAGTACAACCTTTTAGATAAACACAGTGATCCACTGTGGAAACTTCCTGTCTAATCTTATTTGTTACTGAGAGACACAAGGAAATGTTTGTCCTGTGTGTATTACTGCAAGACAGTTAACACAAAACCTAAATACATGTAAGAAGTGAAGAATGAGACACAAAATTACCTTTTAAACGCAAAATATTTTTTAAACATTTTGAGTTATGGTTACTTTTATAGGGATGTCCTGTCTTAGTCATCTGACTGGCTGGTTTGGTAACTTAATGCAGGTCACCAAAGAACAACATGTCTGTTTTAGCATGTCAAGTAGGTTAAGAAGCTGCAGGTATATTCCAAAATAAGTTACTGTTATATGTGATTTTTCCGAGGTAAATGTCCGTCCTGTTATAGACTGAAGCTACACTGACCATAGAAACCTATACCGCTGATTTAGAAACCTTTAGTTTGGAGTGCAACTGATTCCTCCACCTGAGCTCTGGCTCTCTGCATATCCTCCAGAATTAAAATAAGCATGCTTCTCTGATGAATACGCTCATTGTGTGCACTGGACTTTAATTATGTTGAATATAATTTTAAAAAAAAATGACACAGCGCTAATTCTATTTTGGTATTTATATATTGAACTGAATTTAAATATAGACTTTTAAGTGATGTGACGCAAAAATATAATTGCATGTTTTGATGATATACTTAGAAAATGGGCAAGAAAAAAATAAAACAAAATTATTATTATTTAAGTCAAGGAACCCAGAAAATTGCTTGGTTTTCTTAGAAACGTTTAAAAATTACTTGAATAGTTGAGCTTAATTTGATAACTAGTATCATTTGAAATGTATTTATAATCTTATTGAAACTATTTTTCTGTAAAGTGTCTCGAGACGACAGTTGTTATGAATCGGCTCCATAAAATTAAAACGGAATTGAATAGAATTGAATTAAAGGCTTAGAAATCTGAGCTGCAGTACTTGTTTTCACCACTAGGAGCACTATAACTGATGCTGTGGGTCAAAGGGCAAGCAGCGTTCACAGTAGGAGAAGTTTGAGATATGCCAGGACGCATTTGTGACTTGAAAACACAGGTTGAGGTGAGGCATGAGCAGAAATCTGTGAAGGCGTGCAGAACATGTGGAGAAAACAGTTTGGAGTCGTGACAGCCCAGAAGAGGCGGGTGGAAGCGACGAGCCGGCCGGCCTTCAGTGGAATTCAGCTCTCCGGTCTTTAATAACCTGCTCTCGCTCTGATAAGGGCGCATGTGGCAGATGTCAGGGCCAAGGATGGGGAGGAAGACCAGGGTGTGGGGAGGAAGCAGGAGCTGGTGAGGTTTGAAAGGTGTCTAAGCATAAAGGGGCCGTTAGGGCCTCCCCTTCCCTGACCACAGGACCACCGAGAGAGACAGCATGTGCCTGCTTTTAATACTGATCCTGCAGAAAACCAGAGCGAGGCAGCGTTCCGTTTGAAACCGGAATTCAGAAGAACAAGTGTATCCTGATGTGGTGAGGAGCTGGGAGGGGAGGAGGGGGAAGAGGAGGGCTGAGGACGCAGAAAGCGCCATGTGGCAGGCCTCAGTCCAGGGCTCGGCTGAATCTGAACGTCAAAATGGAGGATCTGCAGGCAAGGTGGAGGAGCCAGAGACAGTGCTGGGGTTAAAACAGCAAATTAATTAATAATGACTAGAAATATTTACGTGATTAACACTAACCTTCTGGAAGACGAACTGTCTGAGATGCAGCACAGGGTTCCAGGACTTCATGCTATTCTTTAAATAATATGCAACATTTTCAGTAGCTCTGCAGACACTTTAATTCACTGTAATTATTTACATGTTGTTCTAAAAGATGCTTCCTAATGATTGATAATCATGCAAATTAGGTAGCTCCAATTTTTTTTGCCTGTTCCAATTTGAGGTTGGATGCTATGAATCTTCTTTCTTTATATTAAGGCAGAAAAACTTTGAAACCAAGCGCTGATGTTTTTATATCACTAATTCAGAAGAGATCGCCGAAGTGATGAAGTTGCAGTTCTGGGACTTTACATTTCTGGACACAGCATCAATAAAATGCTGCATGAATGCTGGAAATTCAAAGTGCCTCAAGGAGTTAATGATGACCTGCGCAGTCTTTCACTTCCTGTCCTGTTAAAACAGAATGCATGTCCATGTGTTGCATTGTAGCTTCAGATGAAACATCAAAACAAAACAGCAAATGACGGTGAAATGTAAGGAAAAGGATGAATAACGTTAAAAGATTTTTACAAAAAATGTACAGAAAAGGCTTGGAGGCAAGGTGAACATTTTCTTGTTGCTTACAAGGAAAAACTAAAATGGCCACCCCTGTCCGCCATTCTCCAGGGTATTTTCTTTTTCCAATCTTGCATGACACATTGAGGATTCATCAATCACAACTTACTTCATCCAGGGACAAATCTTCTCCACACTTGGTCTTGTAATCTTGCTTCTTTTGAAACCGACTCGTTTTCATTGTGGGTATTTTGTTGCCTTGTGTTTTGCTGCCCCCTCAGCAGATCAAAACAAATCAGCAAAAACAAATTAGTTAATAACTCAAATCTAGAGTCCAATAAACAGAAAGGTCAGAAGAAGAACTCTTCCTTGTATTCCTACATGCCATAATGGGACAGTGAAGAACGTCAACAATAACTGAGGAAAATATGATACAAAACTAGATGTTCTCTTTCCAAACCTCAAATAAAGATAAAACGGAAACTGAAGCTGCTGAGACGTTTTTCAGCAAGCAATGCTTAATACCTGATTAAACGTCATTAATGTACTTTTAATCTGACAAACGGGCCTCGTCTGAATGCATATGCTCATTTATTCAATATGAGTATTCCATTATATAATGCTTTATGCTTTAATGTTGGTGTATTATGTTGGTGTATTTACCTCACTTTCAGCCCAACTGTTTTTTATTTACTTTATTTTATATCTTGGAGTTTTAGATCCATTTTCAGACTGCAATTTAGTCTAAAACTTGCAAAGTGCCACCTAAATCAGTGTGATATTTGATTTTTTTAT